CCCCGCCCCCGCCCACACTACATGTATCATTGACTACCAGTGATTAGTTGGCGGACGTGAATTCGCCTCACTTCATTCAATGTCATTGCATTGCAAAGATGCAATTTTGTCAGGAAAGAGAAGGCGGGCTCTTGTGTCCTCTGACATCTGCTTCCATCTACAACAGTACTTCCAAACCCCCCGTTTTATTTCCTTTACTCCTAATGCTGAGTTGAGCGAGGTGCCGCCGCGCCCCTGCAGAGTTTGTGCTGAAGATTATTATACAAATAGATTCAAATTAGGTATCTATGAGAGTTTTAAAAAATGCACTTAACGGAGTGTGCAGTGAGACAGTTAGACAAACATTTATATATTTGCTGGACACTGGAACTGAAACCCTAAGATTACATCGCATCTTATGTAATGTTTAGTGCAAAATGTTTTTAATACTCGCCCCCCCCCCNNNGGGGGGGGGAGCGCAGAGGTAATTATTGTGAACGGCGCGTTGTTATGTACCATAGTCACGTTATGTATCAGCCTGTACAGTATTCGACGGACGTGTTAGAGTTAAGCTCTGTTGTTTTATTTATGAATAATTAAACTTGTGACCTGTACGAAATTGTTTTATTTCACAAAATCATATTTACTTATCCCCTATGGATACTGAATGTAACTCAATACTTCCTCATAATGACATTAAAATAATATAAAGACGAAAGCAGTGAACAAAATTGTTCATCAGTACATTCTCTGAAACTAGAAGCCGCGCGGACTATTAAAGTGTCTGGGAGACTATTTGCCCTAATGGACTCAGCGCCAGAGCTGGATGACTACGCTTAAATTACAAGCTTTATTGTTATACGATTATATAGTACACGTTTGTACTGTAACCGAATGGCCATTAGTTGTTATCCTGTCCAATGGAGCAGTTAGGCGCTATCACGCGCTGAAGTTAGTGAAAAAGTTGACACCTGAGTTCACAAAGCGGATTTTCACATACTTGTTGAAGAGTGTTGTAAGAATAACTAAATAAATACTGCCAGACAATTTCCGTGGGCCGTTTTCCGAAAAGGAGTATTTTAAGTTGCCAAAAATATGACTAAACTATACACTTATTTTCAAAGGCTTCATTTTTGTCTATACTAATATTTTAAAGAGGAAAGATTTGTATTTTTGAATGTATTGAAATAACTCAAAAACTACTGGGTTAAAAATTCTTACACCATAAAGAAGGATATTTATCCGTGAGTAACATAAGCTATATTTTATTATTACTAATGTTTAGAAACTAATAATAAAAAGCGTATTTCTGGATCGCGGCCTTCTTAAGAGAAACAATGAGATACTTTACTACTTTTTTAACTTTGTTTAAACTTTTTTTACTTTGGTGTTTTTTACATCGAAGTGACATCTGAGCGTATGTTATGAATGGAATACAATTGACGTCACGTGTCTCATGACAACTCCGGTCGCGTTTTAGTCGCTCGAAAATGGTCGGAATTTTATTTTATTATTTTAGCTCAATGGTTGAATATTTTCCCGTCATTTTTTTTCTGATTATTTTATAACAAGTAGAATCGTTTAAAAAAGAAAAAAAAAACATATGCATGTTCCCTATTGGACAGGATAATAAACGAGTAGTTACTATCTAATCGTATAACAATAAGTTTGTGAACGTATCATCATCCAGCTCATGTAGCGGATGTGCCCCCTCTTGTGTTCCGAGGGGGCCATCATCGTAGGGTGATGGGAGGGGTTTAACATCTGACCCCTCCCTACACATGTCGAGCCCCCTAGATGCCACGGTCCGGTTAAACGAAGGAGAACACCGCGGGGTTTAGTGGGTACTCCGGCCGGAATTAAGGCCGGGAGTCCCACACGAAACTGTCCTTGCTGCCTCCGCAGCATGGACGGTGAAGTGCGTAAATGCATTCCCCGCAACAAAAAATAAATCATCATCCAGCTTTGGAAGCTCGGGCTATAAATACAATCAATTATATTCATATTGAAACCACATTTTCCACTTTTTAAACTACATCTTTTTAGAAACATATCTTTTGTCATCAAAGTCATCAGGGGATCTAAAATTCGAATATTATAATCATATTTTCACAATCGCCTATACAGTCACTGCAAGATTTTCTCAAAAACTTTTAAATTATACTCGCTGCGAAAAAAAACTTGACAGTGATTGTACAGGCGGTTGCAAAAATATGATTATCAAACTGTTTTCAAACCTGATGATTCGATGACAAAAGTTTGTTCCACAAAAAGGTGTAGTTTAACAAACGAAAACCATGGTTTCAATTTGAATAATTTTTATTGATGGTACGAACTTTTCGATTTATTTTAGAGATCGAATTTAAAGTAAATAGCAAACATTATTCAGCTAGTGCCCTGTAGTTGAAACTCTGGTTTCGCAATAGGAAGGAAGAGAAAAAAAAAGAACGATTAGAGTGGAATGTATATTTATTGAGTAAATGCCAATAAGCTGCCAGTGGGGGCGGGGCGGGGTGTGGCGGAGTGGCAGAACCCGCCCAGACCCGCCCCAGTCGTATTTACATAAATTAGTTTCATAGTAACATGGACACTAGTAAACTTTTACAATAGTTTTTATAGCGTTTAAAACAAGTGCAATATAAATTGTTTTAATTCACTTTGATACACTTTAAACTAATAATCTTAGCTAAGTTTTAGGTTCCAATCTAATTCAGATACGTCTAGAAGCGCGGCGTCCGCGTCTAGTGCAGGAGATAGTTTACATCAGTTCATAGGACTATGCCAAAGCATTTTGGTCCTACGTGTATATAATATAAAAAAGAGTCAAACTTGTATGGACGTGTGTACACAATAAATAGCGCTAGCCTACGTGCGCGGCCAGCGAGCCGCCGACCACACACAATATATAACACTACGCGTCAAGAATATCACAATATCAAAATCCATAGAATAAGTACAAAGATAAGTCCTCGCGGACAGCAGGTCCGCTTGCGATACTCCTACTTAGAATGGAATGTGGAGGTGAAACCTTGAGCAAACAAGTCGAGTATAAAATACTGGATGTGGTAAAAGTTAAGTACACTTCGCCGTCCGGCTTCCTCCACACAATGTTACAACTACACTAAATGTACTTAGAGCTAGGCCGCAGCAAGGCACGGGCGGCGCTCGCGGCGCTGGCGGCGCTCTGCGGACTCCGCCTTCACTTACAACTAATTTAGAATCTTGCACGCTTTCCTTTTTGTATATATTACAAAACTTACTTAACACTAATTGCGGACGCTCGGGGCGGGGCGGGGAGGGGCGGGGCTCGCAACGTCACAATATATATAAAAAATGTAACTATAAATATTACAGAGTAAAGGTGATTTCGAAAATATTAAATAAATTCGTTTGAATACAATGTTCCCACAAATGACGTATAGAATGTAGGCTGTGCCCGCC